AAAAGAGTTGGAATTGATATTGTCGTATAAAATTTTAGTAGGTATGCAGAAGATAACATGCTAACCGTGGAATTAGGCTGTGTTGCGGCAGAAGTAGGGTTTTCGACTGGTCTTTGTAAAGGAATGGGAACTCTCGTGTTTTCCCCCATCTGCACAAAAACGTTCAAGTTGTGCAGTAAAAAAGCGTGACAGCTCATAAATCCAAGATAAGTAAAAGAAAATTTTTAAAGTGAGTTTCTCCTACAATTTATCAAATCGAAATCATTTTCATGTCAGCACCACATTTACCAGAACTAATAGTATCACTCTATCCTAAAATTTTAAGTTCTTGCTAAAAATTTTTAACTATATGCTTTAAGTGAAAAATTAGCTACATAATAATACAAGTGATTTTAGAGTTGAGCATGCTGCAATAGGCACCACTAAATATCAAGACTAAACCTTTTATCATCTTAAGCAAAAATACCTCAGAAAATTACTTAACATCGATGGATTAACACATAATAACAAGAACAAGAAAAAAAAAAAAAATACATACATTAACATTTGTGATGAAGTGACAAATTGCACATTTTACAGACGGAGCCCCGGCAGGATACATGAGCATAGTATGGCAGTTTCCACAGTTAACATGAGCAACATTATTAGGGGGAGCTGCAGCTGGTGCACCTGCACCAGCACCTGCATGATTTAATTAAGCATTAGGTTAAAAAAAGTACAATCATATCAAGCATGGATTTTTTTCAGGCGTGAAAAAAGGAAAACGCCATGAAATTTACCTGGCACAAGGTTCACCGTGTGGCAGCATGAACATCTCACACTAGTTGCCCCACGAGCATGCATGAGCAACGTTCGGCAACCTCCACATATCAACTGAGCCATTTCCATCCCTGCAAATTGTATAAAATCCATTCACAACTGCCAATAATCTAAAGTTGTGTTTGGTAAGCGCATAAGCTAGCTTAAAGCTTATTTGGTTAGCTTATAAGCTTCCTGTATTCAAATAAGTTTGGTTTGGTAGGACAAGCTTTTTTAAAAAAAGCTTGAGCTTATCTTATAAGCTTCCTTAGGTAGCTTTTCAAATAAGTCAATTGAAAATTTTATTTCAGCTAGCTTGTCAGCTAATTTTACCAAACAATTTTATCATATAAAAACTAGCTTTTCAAAGCTAGCTTTTCAGCCATAAGTCTTAAGCTATCAGCTATAAGCTCGAAATTCACTTAACATAGCTTCAATATACAAAGGCCAAAGTAGTGAAAAATGCATGATGTCGCTTTTTAACTCTACAAGAAAAGAGAAGAAAAGAAAGTACCAAACAACAAGATGCTATGCAAGGATGTCAATAAGAATATACGGATAATTTGAGACGAACAAACCCATCCAACCATAATGGAGAGTTGTTAGAGAATAAATAACTCATTGATTTAACTCAAAACTTATAAAACTTTAAAATTCTCCTTTAGCTTAAAGGAATGGAAAGAATAATACACCGAAAAATGCGAATGGTGAGTGTTCTAAATCTTGCATAATTCACATGGTCCCAACATCAGTAATTTACAGATCTCTACAGTAAAAAACGAGACTTTTGAAAGCTTACCGGGTGGCGGCACAGCATTCACCGTATTGCATACGGCACAGCAAACATTTGCAGCCCCACTTGGGTAAAGAAGGACTGTTCTGCACCCATTGCAAACTAGTTGGCTCTGCATATCTGCACAATCCAAATTTTCACAACTAAAATGAAAAGAACAGAATTTTTAAATCCCACATCGATTTTCAACTTTTCCACAGCAGAAAGCAACAAAGCAAACTATATTGGACAAAAACTCACTAACACATTTCCCCCAATTTCTAATCAACTGACCTTAATTGGTCGAGCAGCAGCATGGGCTATGAAAAATTAACAACAAACAAATAGCAGAGAACTTAAAGACACGAACTTGCAGAAAAAACAACCAAAAAATGAGGGAAAAATAAAACTGATAAACCGATGATAAACTTCACATAACCATA